CTCCCCTCCCTCCTCCTCCCTCCCTCCCCTCCTTTTCCTGTGTCTCTCCCTCCTCCTCCTTTCCCTGTGTCTCTCCCCTCTCCCTCCCCCCCCCTTTCCTGTGTCTCTCCTCTCCCTCCCCTTTCCTGTCTCCTCTCCTCCCCCCCCTGTTTCCTTGTGTATACTCCCTCTCCCCCCTTTCCCTGTGTCTCTCTCCCCTTTCCTGTGTCTCTCCCCTCTCCCTCCCCCTGCCCCCAATTTACCTCAGAGAAGGCAGGGGGCCAGCCACGTTCCTGGCTGGAGCCGCCGGGCCGGGTGGCAGCTCGGCCAGTCCGGTGGCCCTGCTCCTGTCACTGGCTGCTGATGGCTGATGGAGGAGGAGCCTTTGTACCATGCTCCCTCGCGGTTCTCACAGCTGTGGGAACCGCGAGGGAGCATGGTACAAAGGCTCCTCCTCCATCAGCCATCAGCAGCCAGTGACAGGAGCAGGGCCGCCGGACCGGCCGAGCTGCCACCCGGCCCGGCGGCTCCAGCCAGGAATGCAGCCGGCCCCCTCTCAGTGTGCCACCGGACCAGCCACCCGGTGGCACATATGTGGCCTTGCAGCCCCAGGTGCCGCGGCCCACCGGGAATTTTCCCGGTATCCCGGTGGGCCAGTCCGGCCCTGCAAGAATCCTATAGATACTGTGCATTGTTGCAGTTTTTGCTAAAGTGACAGTTAAAAGGACACTACAGACCCCAAAGCCACTTCAGCTTGCTGAAATGCTTTATGGGTGAAAAGTGTATAGAAAAAGTGCAGATTTCAATAGATGTTACCACTTTTACAAATTAGCCTTGTTGCACCCCCATGGCTGTCAAAATAGAAAACAGGTCCTGTTATTTATTGATTGCTTAGCTCAGTGGAGCTAAAAACAAGAAGGAAGCAATTGTTTAGAGCAACTGCCTTGCAAAGAGTTCTCATTGAGCTGCTTTGGGAAGTGTGTGATTAGGCAGCGACAGAAAATCTTGTCTGGGTTAGAAGAGGAGGGCTTTCAGAAGCTTCAGGCGAAATGTCTGTAGTGTTTGCAAGCTGTTTTTATTTATTCCTCCAATGAAAAATAGCACAGCATGGACACAGCATAGCATAGTTAAATGCATGCATGTTTTCATTTAGGGTATATCTACTAAACAGTGATTTTTATTTTTGGGGGATTTGGGCAGTGGAGTTTCCCTTTAACTCCGGCAGGTGGCTGGATAAAATCCACCATGTGCCATATACTGCCAAAATGTGTCTTATACATGAGCATTTACTAAAGGTACAATTTCAAGCATGCTTTTAAAATCCTTTATATGCCAGTAGATCAGAGATTCTACACTGACACCATTTTCTTAAAGGTTTACTACAAGCACCATGCGCACTCCAGTATTTTTAAGTGTTCATGATGCCTGGAGTCTGTATGTTCAGTGTAACGTGTTTAACTATGAAACGCTGCTCATATACAGTTTACCATGTTGCTACTGGAGATGTAACTCCACCACCAGCAGTGTCATTGGGGCATCATTAGCCAGCATGGAACAAGAGTTCCAGGCTGGCTACTATCAGTTCTGTGCATAATGGACGTTTGATGTGATATTTTCCCACTATTTGGTTGAGAGATCCAGTGATAAAAATTAAATACAGATTTTCTTTTAATGCATCCTCCTTTTTTTACATAGTTACATAGTTACATAGTTACATAGCTGAAAAGAGACTTGCGTCCATCAAGTTCAGCCTTCCTCACATTTGTTTTTTGCTGTTGATCCAAAAGAAGGCAAAAAAACCCAGTTTGAAGCACAATTTTGCAACAAGCTAGGAAAAAAATTCCTTCTTGACCCCAGAATGGCAGTCAGATTTATCCTTGGTTCAAGCAGTTATTACCCTACATTGAAAGATTATATCCTTGAATATTCTGTTCTTGCAAGTATGCATCTAGTAGCCGTTTGAACATCTGTATGGACTCTGATAAAACCACTTCTTCAGGCAGAGAATTCCACATCCTGATTGTTCTTACAGTAAAAAAACCTTTCCTTTGCCTTAGACGAAATCTTCTTTCTTCCAGTCTAAACGCATGGCCTCGTGTCCTATGTAAAGTCCGGTTTGTGAATAGATTTCCACACAATGGTTTGTATTGGCCCCGAATATATTTGTATAATGTTATCATATCCCCTCTCAGGCGACGTTTTTCTAAACTAAATAGGTTTAAATTTGTTAACCTTTCTTCATAGCTGATATGTTCCATTCCTTTTATTAATTTTGTAGCCCGCCTCTGCACTTTTTCTAGTGCCATAATATCCTTCTTTAGAACAGGTGCCCAAAATTGCACAGCATATTCAATATGGGGTCTTACCAGTGATTTATAAAGAGGCAAAATTATATTCTTGTCCCGAGAATGAATGCCCTTTTTCATGCATGACAATACCTTACTGGCCTTGGCCACTGCTGATTGACATTGCACATTGTTGCATAGTTTGTTGTCTATAACAATTCCCAAGTCCTTTTCATGTGTTGTTATCCCTAATTCGCTTCCATTAAGGGTATACGTGCTTGTGTATTCTTTACGCCGAAGTGCATAACTTTGCATTTTTCAACATTAAATTTCATCTGCCATTTGAGTGCCCAGTCTCCCAGTCTATCTAAATCACTCTGCAGCAAAGTAATATCTTGCTCACATTGTATTGTTTTACAAAGTTTTGTGTCATCTGCAAACACTGAAACATGACTTTCAATGCGGTCTTCAAGATCATTTATAAACATGTTAAATAGAAGGGGTCCCAGAACAGACCCCTGAGGGACACCACTTGCCACCTCTGTCCAGCTTGAAAATTTACCATTAATGACAACTCTTTGTACTCTGTTTTTAAGCCAATGTTCTACCCAAGAACAAGCATTTTCATCTAGACCGATTTCCTTGAGTTTGAACACTAATCTATTGTGTGGAACTGTATCAAATGCCTTGGCAAAATCCAAAAAGATCACATCCACGGCAACACCCTGACATCCACGGCAACACCCTTTTCTCTTTATTAGTCACTTCTCAACAGACCTATGAAGAACCCTGAATCACAAATCAAATGAACATGTCCGTGCATTGCACAAGTCATTTGTATTGTGATTAGTTTATATAGTGGAAATTTGGATGATCACCTAACTGCTCGGTTCATAGCAAAACTAATCTTTAAGTCTACTTGCCTGAAAGGGACAGCTAAATTGCTTTAGGTGTTTGGGTGTTCCTTCAAGGAGGTGGCCATTTTGCCCGTTGCATGGCAAGAGTAGTCCTGTAAATTCATGTGTTGTGGGTCTGGGTTAGATAATGCCTTTGGCAGTGGGGTCTAACCATGACTGGTGCAGACAAGAAAACTATGGTATTGACACTCGCAATCTCACAGATATGCATACATTTCTAATGTTGCATGGACTTGGATCAACATGGCTCATGTATTTTTAACCCCTTAACGCCGTTACGGCGTTCTATGCTGTTCCCATTATAATGGGCTTTAAAGCCGCTGTGGTCGCATAGAACGCCGTAACGGCTTAAGCCCTCATGAGGTCCGTGGTACTTACCTTTGCCGCGATCCTCTTCGGGAGGACTGCCTGAAAGCCCAGGCAGCCCTCCCCGGCAAATCAGGCCCCCAGGGGCCATGTGATCGCTCTTAAAGAGCGATCACATGGCCTCCTATAGCTGGCTGTGGATCTGTCAGACAGTCCCCTTGCTGGTGGGAAATATAAAAAAAAACAAATAATTAAACATGTTAAAAATAAATAAAATTTTTATATATGTTAAGGCATCCCACTCCCTCTATTAATAGCACCCTCTAAGGTGGGCCCACTTTTATTACAGGCCTCTTGCTTTGTCGGTTCCGGCACACCACAACCGACTGGTGTGAACTTATTGTTGTTATGCTTATAATATGCTAGGTTTCTGTTTTACGGCTATATTGCCCGACTACAAATATATATATATATATATATATATATATATAGCCAAAAGTTTTTATATATATATATAATATGTAACATCATACGTCGTGTATTTTAATGTTAATATAATTACATATATTAGTATTAAAATACACTTAGAATGAAGTTACATATATAAGATAGATATATATATTATATATATAATATATATATATATATTATATTTATATATATATATATATATATTTGTATAATTACATAATCATTAAATAAAATAATAAAATAAATAACATATTTTTTAAAAATTTAAATAAATTATATATACATATGTAATTTCATTCTAACTGTATTTTGTAATATATATATATATATATATATATATAGGTAACAAAATACACTTAAAATGACATTATATATTTATCTATCTATATACAAAATACAAATAAATGCAAATATATATATAGATAAATATATATAATTACATAAATGATTACATAAGTATACACACATAATTTAAATACATACATATGTATATATACATTAAAATTCTACGTGTATATTTAAGTAATCTTTTAACATAATTATGTGATTTAATTAATTAAAATTTGATTGACGTGCCTGACAACCCAGGCAGAAAGTACAGAGAATTTAATTCGCAAGCACTATAGTTAACCCTATAACTTTCCAAGACACCATAAAACATGTACATGAGGGGTACTGTTTTACTCAGGAGACTTCGCTGAACACAAATATTAGTGATTCAAAATGATAAATTGTATTACAACTATGTTATTTTTGGTAAAAGTTAAGTTTTTTCATTTTTCACGCACGAACATCACTTTTACTGATGATATTATTGTTGCAATATGTTTTACTGTTTTGAAACACTTTTGTTTGTGTTCAGTGAAGTCTCACAAATATAACAGTACCCCCCATGTAGAGATTTTACAGTGTTTTGGAAAGTTACAGGGTCAAATATAGCACATTCCATTTTTCATTTTTTTCACATTGAAATTTGCCAATTTGGTAATGTTGCCTTTGAGACCGTATGGTAGCCCAGGAATGAGAATTACCCCCATGATGGCATACCATTTGCAAACGTAGACAACCCAAGGTTTTGCAAATGGTGTATGTCCTGTAATTTTAGTAGTCACGTAGTCACAAACACTGGCCAAATATTTTTTTTTTGGTTTTTTTCACACAAAAACAAATATAAACGCTAACTTTGGCCAGTGTTTGTCATTAAGTGACTTCTAAAAAAGACTGGACATACCCCACTTGCAATACCTTGGGTTGTGCACTTTTGCAAATAGTATGCCATCATGGGGGTAATTCTCATTCCTGGGCTACCACACGGTCTCAAAGGTAACATTACTAATCTGGCAAATTTTAATGTGAAAAAAAAAAAATGGAATGTGCTATATTTGACCCTGTAACTTTCCAAAACACTGTAGAATCTGTTAATGGGGGTTACTGTTGTACTCGTGAGACTTTGCTGAATGCAAATATGTGCATTTTATTGCAGTAAAAGCTAACAGTATTATGACATTTACAGCTAAAATGTCTGGCGAAACTACAATTTAAAAAAAAAAAAATTCTTAATTTCTCACAGTTATTATTTTATTTTATTCATAATCAATTATGTTTCATATATGAATAGTTCATGAGTAATTAAAGCCCTTTTTCTCCTGAACAAAATGATTTATAATAAGTGTGGGTGCACTTAATATGAAAGAGATAAATTACGGTTGAACAGACATAGCACAAATTCCATTTTTTGTTTACATTTTGTTTTGATCAGAACGTTACTATTGACTCTGTCCTGAAGGGGTTAAACAAGAACTTCAATAACAATATTAAAATGTAAAAAAAAATGTTGTAGTGGGTACTCACATGTGTATGATGTTTAAAGCAAAAGTGTTTTGAAGGAACTCTTCTGAAGTCTCCATAACAATTTAAATCAATGATTCTCAGATAAAGCAGCATTTCAACTAAATGTGTTTTTGACAAACAATTTTACACAATTTGACCCAAAGTACACTGTTTGTTATTTGTGTGAATGGAGATGGGAGCAAAATACTTCTATATGCAATAAATAGATATGGTGCTTGGAGTGTCCCTTAAAAAATCTTTAAGTTGCTGGTCATCTTATCTTGTTTAAAACAGTTCTATAAGATTAATGGGTCAGCATCAATATGAATTTTAAGCACAATATAGATGGAATGAAAGTAAGGGAATATTTTTTTTTTTTTCTTGAACAGATATTTTGAAGACTTGACAATAATTACTTTACCAGTATGCTATTTTTGATTAATCCATTTGGGTGCCTTACTAAATTCAATTTTTTGCAATTCTCAGTTAAGCCATCGAGAGTTGTCAAGGTAACGCTGTTCATTTGTCATGCCAGTAATTCTTTTAGAACTATTATTGATCCAAACACTTTTTCTCCACAAGAAGCAAGAGGAAACTAATGGTGATTAAAAAGAATCTCTGCATTTCTCAGCCTGCTGAGCTCCCTGGAATCAGAAGGAAAGTGCCGCAGGGTCACCTATAAATGCTCTGTTCAGTGTGCCCTGCATCTGAATCAGTTTTTGTGGCACACATTGGCTCAACAACCAATTGGTTTGGCTCAACAGTTTGTTTAATATCTGCATGCCAGCTAGAACAATGTCATATTGAATCACCATTTAAAGGTAAAAAATGACAGATAACTAAAAACTAATTTATTTCTAAGACGAAGGAGCCCATCAGTTATGAAAAAGACATTCAGAAAATATAGGGATTTCTATAGTGTGTACACACACTACAAATACTTGAACTGTCAGATAAGGGCATCACTGCAACTTGCACTTGGGTGCCTATTAGTCCCTAATAAAGGGTTAATATACACGAAATTTTGAACCGCACTTAGTGATAATATAAAAAATGGAGGTTTACGTACAACCAGTAAAGGGAACTTCCGTAAGGTATATCTTAACAGAAAAATATAATAGTGCAGCACAATATAATATTTAGCTTAATAAGAATAGTAATGCCAAAGGAACACTTTATAGAGCTAATATAGCTCTATTTCTGTAGGCATAGACAGTATAATCCCTAATATATACAATAAATCTAAAGAAAAAAGTTACTTGTGCACTATTCCAAATCCCTGTGCATATTTATATAAAAGGAGGTTTTTAGATCCACTCCAATGGCCATTAGATATAAGCCCACCTGCCATGTCAAGGCAAACCTATTAGGTGGGTCCTACACTAACAATTCACCTTGCATGCTTCAGCTTAAGGCAAAAGAAAATCTTTAATGAGACTAAGATGGGTATTTTTTTAAACCCCTGTATACTTATTAACCTTTAATAGGGAATGTAACGGACCGTTTTACACATAAGAGGTTAAAAAACGTTTAGGCGATATTCCCCTTTCCAGATGCACCGACAGCTACTGTAAGCACCAATCTTCCTAACCGCAAACTACACGAATTCACCAACTCCCGAACAGGAAACACACATATACTGGAAACAGACGAACAGGAAAAGCATACAATCAGCTTACACTACTGGCAATCAGCATACAATCCAATTCCCCCAATAATGAGACGACACTTCGTTTTGAGGGTCAAGCAGGAACTGATTTACTGGGGCTACCTGCCCGGCTTTTATGCAGGTCTCCCACCTGGTGGACACTTCCCTAGGGGACCAGATGGGAAACTGGGAAACATATTGGACATTGACCAATCACAGACATACACCTTTAAACACTCCCACAATGCATCACAATCCCTCCTCTCTGTCCTGGAGGTAATTGGGAAGTAATCCAATTATCTCCAAGGACAGAGGCAAAACTCCATTAGCCACATGGCAAACAAAGGACAATAAAAGACATAAAATTACATACTGTTACATTTATCACATAGAACATACACATTCTACCTATCCCCAGATAGCTTAGATCTGAGTGCATGTTACTACCGGATGGCGCTCAGATCATGTACATACAGTTCAATCGCCATGGAGCCAAAGTCTTTCATATAGTCTTTCAGTATACGGCTGGGCTCCATGGCATAGCTATCTGGGGTAGCATGGCTTTAACCCCTTAAGACCGGAGGGCGTACTATTATGCCCTATTTTAAGCGGCTCTAAACGCTGCTGGGCGTAATAGTATGCCCTCCGGTCTTTTCCTACTTACCCGGTCGCCGGCGATCCCACGCCGGCGATCGCGGTTGGGGGGACTCCCAGGGAGCCCCCTGCGGCACGTTCGACGTCCTGGAAGCCCCCCGGCCATGTGAGAGTGGGGTCCTTGCGAGGACCCCACAATCACATGGCCGGGGGTAGCTGCCTCCTGCATTGCCAGCAGGGGGTCTGTAATGACAGGTGGTCCCCCTGCTGGCTGAAAATAAAATTAAATAAATTAAAAAGTGTAAAAAAAATAATAATATATACTTAGATCATATATATATATTATATATATATGATCTAAGTATATATATACACATATACATACACACACATACACTGTCTAGGTGTATTTTACTATTAATATATATATATATATATAATTATATATATATATATATATTAATATCAAATTACACGTATACTGATACTGATTAAATATATATATAATTATTGTTATATATATATTTATATATAATATAAAAAAAAATGTAAATACGTTAAAAAATAAAATTAAAAAAATAATGAAAAATATTTTGTGTTATTTCGTTCTAACTGTATTGTGAAATTAATATATATATATATATATATACAAATACATAGTATCCTTGCACTCTAACTAAATGGTTACATACCGGGTGCTTGAAATCCTGGGGAAAATCAAATATCCACTTTGCAACAGGTGACCAGCACTCACGGATTCACAAAAAGGGTTAAAACATCCAAAGTTTAATGAAAAATATTTTAAAAATTTGTTGACAGCTCAACGTTTCAGTCCTCCTCTGGGACTTTCATCAGGAACAATAAAAGTGTCTCACAATACCCATCTTTAAATAGGCACATCAATTAACATAATTACACATTCAATCCCAAACTGAATAAGCATAATTGAAAGCCAAATTCAAGGAATTAGCATATAAACAGATATATATAAATAACGAGATCCAACTCACCAGTGTATATTTGCAGTGACAGCCGGCGTTCTGAGAACGCTTTCGCGCATGTGCGCCCATAGCCCCTCCCCTGTCTGCATGACCGCACGACCCCCGCTGTCATGGTGACCGCGAAACAAACCCCGCGACACCATGGCAGCAGCGGCACCAACGATCGCCACATAAAAGTGCATAAAGCACTAAAGAAAAAGAAAAAGAAAGAGAAAAAGAAAAAGATGGGGAAAATAGGGACCTAAATATAAAATAAACATGGTGCATAACAAGAACGCCTGTAAACACACCAGGGCTCCACCCACTGTGTGTAGCCGTTCCCATGGTAACCGGACCAAAATGCCGGTACATAAAGTGAACAGGACAAAAAAAGGCATACAGGCTAAATAATAAAAATATGACAATGTAGCCTAATCATATGAATATATATAATGTGCAAAATATGATTAATATAAAAAGTGCATACAGTGCAAAGCAATGAATTGCTAAGTTTATATATATATATATAGACTGAAAAAATATATGACTACTCTATATATCATATTGAAAAAAGTGCAATGTGCATATAATCAGTGAAAATAACCTATATATATAGGTACATAAACTAATAAGGAAAATAACCTCTAATGATCACATATTGGACCAAAGTGCAAAATGCATATAAATGAAAATGAACAAAAAATAGACCAGTGATGATAAAGTGCAAGTGTAGTTGAAAAAAGTCAAATAGACTAATAAATAATATAAATGGTCTCTACATCCCCATCCAGATGTAATAGAGGGAATTAGGCTTACCCTAATAGATGTATCCACATATGCCAATAATATATTACATAAAAAATAGTGGCTATAAACAGACAGACATTGAAGGGGCTGGCAGCTCTACAGTGCAAAAATATGTATCTTAAAATAGGCTATTAAATACATAGAGATAAAACTATACAGAGTTATCCATAATTAAAAATCCATAGAAAACAGGATATTAAATAAAAGAGTGATATGAAATCATTTCATTCAAGCCATGGGGGGCTATAGTGTCTAATGTATGAATCCAAAATGTCTCTCGATTCAAGAGCAGCTTAGCCCTATCTCCACCACGTTTAGGTGGAGGGATGTGGTCAATGGCTAAGAATTTGAGAGCCGACAACGGATGTTGGTGGAGAAGAAAATGTTTGGCTACAGGTTGGTCAGAAGTGCCATCA